AAATAATTGTTAATAACGCAAGGAACAGTTAGCGGGAGGCCCACAGACCTGGTCCACAATTTGTCCTTTCCCCTGATTTTCATAAAAGCAGTTCAACGTGTGTCGTTTTAAAGAATGATACCAGTAGGTCAAATCTTCCCCCACCGCAAGCTGGATGGCGGCCACAGCCTCGCTGACTTGGGAGAGAGAGGTCTCAGCCATCTTTCTCTCTTCTGCTCTTGGAGATCAAAGTCTTAAAATGATAGAGTTCCCTTGCCTTGCCCTGTCTCCTCTGTGCATGGACTTCCCCAGAGCTATGTGTGTCTCAATATTCCCCTGCATTGACTCAGATCACATCTGCATCTGCCGTTAACAGCAGAGGGCACTGAACACGAACGGGTGGCTATTTTGTTGTTGTTCCAGCTTTATAGGGTACAGTTGACAAAAGATGTATGTTTGTAAGGTGTACAACTTAATATTTTGATATACATAATATTTTGATATGTTGTGAAATAATTCACCACTATCAGGCTAATTAACGTATCCACCACCTTCCACAGTTACTGTGTGGGTGCAGTGAGAACACTAAAAATCTACTGTCTCAGCATATTTCGAGCATACAATACTGTCTTGTTAACTAGAGTGACTACTGTATGTTAGATCTCCAGAACATATTCATCCTGTGTAACTGAAACTTCGTACCCTTTGACCAATAGCTCCCCATTTCCCCTTCCTCTCAGCCCCTGGCAACCACCATTCTCTTCTCTGCTGCTACGAGCTGGACTATTTTAGATTCCATATGGAAGGCGATCATGCAGTATCTGTCTTTCTGTGTCTGGCTTATTTCACTTAGCATAATGTCCTCCAGGTTCATCCACGATGTTGCAAATGGCAGGATTCTCTTCTTCATTAAGGCTGAATACTATTCTAGTGTATATATACCACACCTTCTTTACCCACTCATCCACTGGCAGACATGTAGGTCCCTTCCGTGTCTGTTGTGAATAATACTGCAATGAACATGGGAGTGCAGGTATCTCTTCAAGAGACTGGTTTCATTTCCTTTGTGTGTATCTGCAGCCGATACAGGATGTTTTTAGATTTAAGTCAACGTGCTTTAAAAAGGAGATGCTACATTCTGACCAAAATCTGGATTTCTAGCTTCTCTTGAAAACTCAGAATAAATGATTTCCCAGGAAATGAAAGTTTCATGACAACATAGACTTTGTTTTGTACACAGCCCTAGCTCCAGGATGTAGATCAGTGTCTAACAGTCAACAAATATTTGATGAATGAATAAATGAATGAGCAATGACAAGGCATGACTCCTGTTAACTGAAACTTAATAGCAGCTGTCCCCTTTAGATGGGGAGTATGTTCTCCCTTGCATGTTAAGTAAGTGTTCTCTGCAGATGAGTTAAGGGTGGAAAAATAGGCTCATCTTTTTATGGACTGAATATTTATGAGTCCTCCCTTCCCCCGCTCCTACCACCAAATTCATACGTCAAAACCCTAACCTCCAATGTGATGATATTTGGAGGTGGGGCCTTTGGAAAATAATTAGGTTTAGATGAGGTCATGAGGGTAGGGATCCATGATGGGATTAGTATCCTTATAAGGAAAGGAAAAGCGCTTCCTCTCTCTCCATATGAGGACCCAGTGAGAAGGTGACCATCCACAAGCCAGGAAGTAAACCCTCATCAAGAACCGAATCTGCCCACAACTTGATCTTGGACCTCCCAGCCCACAGAACTGCAAGAAATCAATGTCTGTTGTTTAAGCCACTGGGTCTGCAGTAATTTCTTATGGCAGCCAGAGCAGACTAATACCAAGTACTTCTCTTAACCCCCAGAGAAGCTGATTAAAGAAAGAATGGAAGTACGTAGCCCTGCCTGACAGCAATGAGTCTAATCAAATTCTGTAGATGGGCGGAAATGTGTTCAGGTCGCAGGTCTCCGTGATGGACAGTTACCTTGTCATCCCACCCCTTCTCTCTCCTGACCCCCTGAACTGAGTTGAGGACAGTCTTCTGGGGTGGATCTTTCCGGGATTAGCAGCAAACCTTGTGGGTGAGCAAGGGCTATGGACTGATTTGTGTCCCCCCAAGATTCCTATATAGAGTGGGCCTGAATCCAATAGGACTGGCGTCCTTATAAGAAGAGGAAGAGACACCAGAGAAAAGGTCACATGAGGAGACAAGAAAGAAGACAGCCGTCTGCAAGCCCGAGAAGGAGGTCACAGGAGAAACCAAACCCGACCACACCTTGATCTTGGACTGCCAGCCTCCAGAAGTGTGAGAAAATAAGTGGCTGGTGTTGAAGCTCCCTGGTCAGTGGTGTTTGGTTTGGGCATCCTGAGCTGACCAAGACAGTAGGTCAGGGGTCTTTATCCATTAGCAATGTGGACACAGTGCCCAAATTACAAAAGCTTTTCAAATGCTCCAAGCCCTGAGCAAAGAAAAGGTATTGGCTCAAAAATGAAAACTCCAAAATCAAAACGAACTCATATATAATTAAATGTTTACAAAACAAGGAGTCAATGTTGATTCAGTGGTATTACAAGATACTTTATTCTTAACAGAATTCGAAGTGATAGCATTCAGAATTCAAAAGTTATAGCAAAAAAAAAACAGAGAGAGAAAGAGACACCTCAGTCCCATCACAGACCTCAGAGGTATGCTATCAGTTGGAGAAATATGAATATGTAGGAACACCCACCCATTCCCTGCCCCCACAGTCAGCTTTACCTCACCAGATGACATCATGCTCACTTGCTCTGCCTTCCAGCTGGAGGCCTCCATCTTTTTATCCAACCATCCATTTACTCAACCTGACTCTCTGATCCTCACATACACCTGTCCCCTGCCAACCTCTCCTAGCCCTCATATCATCCCCAACCCAGGAGCGCCCTCATAATGCCCCATTCGATCCCAACACCACCCATTCTGTAGGACCCAGCTGAAGCCCACCTTCCTCCACAGTTGTCTTCATCTGACCACTTCATCATGTAAGCATCTTTGCCTTCTCCAAAATATTGGGGTGTTTTAGTCTGAACCACCTATTTAGCAGTCAATTTACAACTGCTTTCTGTTTTTTCTCTGATGATTTCATAGACCTACAACTTGTCTCCCAAACTAGACTCTTAGCCTCTATATAGCACTAGCATTGTTCTGTTACTTTTTTCTTTGTACCCTGGCAGAAAAGGCTCTGGAGCGGGACAAACAGTAAGTGGCTAATGGATTCTTCTTTTCCTATATGACTTATTGTTAATCTACTTGGCTTCCAGCTCTGCTGAAGGGATCCTCACCCTCCATTTTCTTCTCACCAGGTACCTTCTTTCTGTCCCCCATCTCCTCACTCCGTAGGTCAGAAAATAGTGGGAAATATGAACATACAGACTTTTTCATGGAAAGCGCACAAAGAGACCCTGGAAACCTCCCTGAGATCCCAAGCCAGAAAGGACTGGCATGATATATTCAGAGCACTAAACAAGAAAAATATGCAGCCAAAAATACCATATCCAGCTAGGCTGTCATTGAAAATAGAAGGAGAGATGAAAAGCTTCCAGGACAAACAAAAACTGAAAGAATTAGCAAACACCAAACCAGCCCTACAAGAAATATTGAAAGGGGTCCTCTAAGCAAAGAGAGAGCCTAAAAGCAACATAGACCAGAAAGGAACACAGACAATATACAGTAACAGTTACCTTACAGGCAATACAATGGCACTAAATTCACATCTTTCAATAGTTACCCTGAATGTAAATGGGCTAAATGCCCCAATCAAAAGACACAGGCTATCAGATTGGATAAAAAAAAACAAGACCCATCGATATGCTGCCTGCAAGAGACTCATTTTAGACCCAAAGACACCTCCAGATTGCAAGTGAGGGGGTGGAAAACCATTTACCATGCTAATGGACACCAAAAGAAAGCTGGGGTGGCAATCCTTATATCAAATTAGATTTTAAACCAAGGACTGTACTAAGAGATGAGGAAGGACACTATATCCTACTTAAAGGGTCTATCCAACAAGAAGATCTAACAATTATAAATATCTATGCCCCTAACATGGGAGCAGCCAATTATATAAGCCAATTAATAACAAAATTAAAGAAACACATCTACAACAATACAATAATAGCGGGGAACTTCAACAGCCCCCTCATGGAAATGGACAGATCATCTAAGCAAAAGATCAACAAGGAAATAAAGGCTTTAAATGACACACTGGACCAAATGGACTTCACATATACATTCAGAACATTCCATCCCAAAACAGCAGAATACACATTCTTCTCTAGTGCCCATGGAACATTCTCCAGAATCGATCACATCCTAGGTCACAAATCAGGTCTCAACTGGTACCAAAAGACTGGGATCATTCCCTGCCTATTTTCAGACCACAATGCTTTGAAACTAGAACTCAATCACAAGAGGAAAGTCGGAAAGAACTCAAATACATGGAGGCTAAAGAGCATCCTACTAAAGAATGAATGGGTCAACCAGGAAATTAAAGAAGAATTTTAAAAAATTCATGGAAACCAATGAAAATGAAAACACAACTGTTCAAAATCTTTGGGATGCAGTAAAGGCAGTCCTAAGAGGAAAGTATATAGCAATACAAGCCTGTCTCAAGAAACAAGAAAGATCTCAAATTCTCCCCGAGATCCCAGATTATATGAGGTCCCTAATTTTACTCTTAACCATCTGCCCTTTTCCTCTGCCATATTGATCATGGCTTGTAGGTTAGGTATTTGTGTATTTGTGTATGGCAATGTGCAACCAGGTGCCCATTGCACCCACCAGATTATAAGCCCTCTGAGGGCAAGGAAGGCACGTACCTCTTTTGCCCCCTCCATGGTATCCTGAGCTCAGCATAAAGCTGGGTACAAAGTAGGTGCTGACTCCTGTTGTTGAATGAACAAAAGAGTGAATAGAGTCCAGACAAGGTGCTTTGGCAAGTCTTCACATTTCTTATAGCCCCAACTGTAACAAAGCAAAACTCTCCCTGCTCTTTCAGACGACACAAGATATACAAAGAGCAGCTCAACCTCACCTCCCTGGACACTCCACTGCAGCTCCGACTCGAGGCCAGCTGGGTCCAGTTCCACCTGGGGATCAGCCGCCATGGGCTGTACTCCCGGTCCAGTCCTGTCGTCAGCCAACTCCTCCAGGACATGAGGCGCTTTCCCACCATCAGTGCTGGTGAGATTCACAGGGTCAGGCAGGATGCACTGACTTTCTCCCAGAGAGGCTGCATAGAACATCTCAGCCTGGGCTGAGGGTTGGCTCTGACACCTGGTAGGATAATAAGAAAAACAGACACTGATCTTTTTCCCTTTGAATGAGATCTTATCATTCTACTCTCATCACGACCCCATCAGAGAGCCCTAAGAAAGTGTTTCTGCACACATAAAAGAATGGTGGCTCCTACCGTTTATTGAGTGCTTCTCAGGAACCTGATCACTCTCTTTTATACAGTGACTATATGACATAGATATTATCCTGGCCATTTTACAGGTGGGGAAACTGAGGCTCAGAGAGGTTAAGCAACTTGGCCAGAGACCCAGTGGTGGTGCCAGGATTCAAACCCAGTCCTGCTGTCCCAGGTCTGTGCTCTCAAGCACTCCAACAGTCTCATCACTAACAGGGACCAAACTAGCCTCGATCATTTGCCAGGTGCTACTGGAGCATCCACTGAAGGGCTAGAGGGCATGGGGCCTGGGATGAAGCAGGGTGAAGGCTGCATCCAGCTGAGGCCTAGAGCCATCCCCTGTTGAATGGACAAGGGCCCCAGGCTGCCTCACCATCTCCCCCTCTGTGGTCTGAACCAGAATGAAGGGTCCTGCGTGGTGAGCTCTTCTAGGAGCAAGGCTGGACGTTCTCACTGCCCTTCTCCTCCTTTTCAGATTACAGTCAGGACGAGAAGGCCTTGCTTGGGGCATGTGACTGCACCCAGAGTAAGTGGCCCGGCCCCACCTCTGTCCAGCCCCCTCACTGCCAGAGTGCTGTGAACCCCGGGACCTGGCAGCAACATGAGGGGCCCACCGTCCACTCCGTGGGGGTCCTGGTTGGAAGTTGAAAGAACATGACTCTCTCTGCCCAATCTCTAAGAACTCGACATTTCTCTCCACCCGCCCACCCACGTACCCACCCACACAAAAGAAAAGGCATTTGGGAGGGGCTATTCCTAGGGCCCTGCTGGAGAGCGTGTGGTCCCCTGCATCATCAGCATCTGAAGTAAACCTCATCCGTTTACTTTAAGACACTGAACACGCATAGAGACTCCCATATGTGCCGTGAGGTGTTAAAGGTTTGAAAGAGAGTTTGTAGGGCCCGAGGCTTCCCTTTGCTTTGGTTTAGCACCTGCCCACCATTTGCCATTTTACAGAACACAAAGGTGAGTAAGACATTGTCCCAACCCTCACGGGGCTCATAGCAAGGCCTGGACGGGGCAAAGCGAGTGAAGTAGCCAGAACGTGTCAGGAGGCAGTGCTGAGCGCGGGGTGAGGTAGGAGTGTCACGGGTGTTCCGGTCACCAAACCCTGTCCCGGCCCGGGTGTGCAGTCTGAAAAAGAAAGAGATGCAGGTAACTAGTCCAACGCGATGTAGCAGGTGGCATAATCGGAACCCATAGGGGTCCCTCGGAAGCACAGAGGGGAAGATACCAGTTCCTAGGAAAACATCCTTTGGGGTTTTCAGTGTTTATCTTGGAAAACCTGCATCATTTACCCTTTTCCCGTAAGAGCAGACTTGAGGATTGTCTTGAGCCCCCAAACACGTTCTCCGTGTCCCGAAATACTAGAATTTACACTGCAGGCTTCGAAAGCAAATGCTAGTCTTCGGGGTCTTATTATGTAAGAACAAAAAGAAGAAATCGGCTGGGTTTTTTGAATGAACAAAAGGTCGCAGCCCCGAGGGTAGGCCCGGAAACAGTGTTCACTCTCCCTTGTCCCCCCCTCACAGTTGTGAAACCCAGCGGGGTCCACCTCAAGCTGGTTCTGAGGTTCTCAGACTTCGGGAAGGCCATGTTCAAACCCATGAGGTAAGTGACCGCCTTCCTCAGCTGTGGCAGCCGTGAGGGAGTTTCGTCCAAAAATCAGTAGATGTGGACAGTTTGGGGAGGGGATCTCGTCTTATATTCAGGCATCTCAAATCCTGGGAAGAAAGAGTTGTGGTCCTTCGGAAAGGGAGCGATCTCAGTGAACCCACCTGGCTGGTTTAGCCAAGGCTCCAGAAGCAGCCAGGTGATTCTTGGGCGCGCACCACTCCCCTGGACACAGAGCCGCCGTGTTTGAGGCATTACGTTGTTTTAAGTCATTGTGACGCTTAGTCATGCAGGGTTAATGTAGACTCAGAAGTGAGCCCTGGTTAAAGAGAGGAAGCAGAAGGCGCAAACACCGATGCGGAAACACGAGACCTTAAAGGGAAGCAGAAAAACAATGATAAATCTGCACATTGACCACCCCTCATCAGATCCATGAGTTCCATTCTCTGAGCAGCAATCTTATCTGGCACCTTAAGATGGCTGTGATTTTTTTATGAACTTAAAGCTAATTACACAGCGGGGGAGCTTTACTTTCACTTTTCACGTGTGGGGAGGAAAACCACTCACACTGGCCACGTTTTCAATGCAGGAAAGGCCCGGAAGTCCCAGCCTCCCGCCGCTTCTCTGCCCCGTCACTTACAAACAATGTACAAAAACTGTCCAAAGGAACCAGTTTTCTTGCTGAATAGAATGCAAAAATTCCCAACATTGGGTCATAAAAGCCATTTTGTCTATTCTTAGGCCATAACACAAACTTTAATCAGCATTTGTATAAAATTTCATCCAAAGCCAAAGAGCATCATTTTAAAACGTACTTCTTGGAAAAGCATGCGTTTTTTTCTATATGTCATTTAATGTAAAACAAACAAACAAGCAAACAAAAAAGTGTCCCTTATTAAAAAAGGAAAGTAGGAGTTTATCTTTGGATAATATAAATTATGACCATAATTAAAGATCATATCTTTCATGAAATCTATAGAATATACACACTGAAAAACACGTCAGCTCTTGTCCAAGTCTGAGAAGAACTGATTTAAAAATGATTTTCAAATTTAAAGTCACATCTAGGTAGGCCATACAGAAACGGGGAAATGATGTTTTAGAAAATTCTAAAAGGTGTCGGAGAGACTGTGGATTCTTATGGATGGAATTCACGAATTAAAATGTGGAGATGGGGACCCGTGGACACGCTCCTTGCTGCCCAGGCATCCGGCGGCGGCGCTCGGGAGGAGAATAGGGGCACCCCTGGACACAGAGGCCTGTCCTTTCCATGTGGCCGCACCTTTTAAAACAGAACGCCTGCTTTTGTCAGCCCCTCGCCGTGGTTTCCAGGACTTGTGTTTTTTGGCAAAGTGCACATCGCTAGTTCAATTGCCGGAGCTGTGTATTTATAGCTTTTTGCAACATTATGGGTATTTACATTTGAATTGCTTCTGCAGCCCTCACGCAGTCCCCCACGGTGGATTATAAAATTAGATCATCATTCTTCCATGTGTATTCGCAGCAAGGCAAGTCAAGCTCGGGGCCAGAGGCCACGCTGCCCTGAAGGCCTGGGAGGCACCTTTCAGAACATTCATACCCAGCCGGCCCTTCACACTCGGGCAGGCCTGGTGCTTTTCAGGAATCCATTAGCGATTTTAAAATGTGTGCAAATCAATATCCTCTGCACCGGCCTCCCTCAAGCCTCTGGCTGGGCTCACTGTCAGGACCCAGCTGAGGTTTCTCTGAGGGGACAGGCTCATTTATTCACCCCGGTCACCCTAAGACCTGGACTTTTCTGGTCTTCAAATATCAGTTGTATTAAACGGCATCCCTAGGACACTTTTCCTTTTATAAAAGCCCCCGCCTCCTCCCCCACCTGTAACTCTTGACACCTGGGTCTGTGGCACCTCTGGTTGACCAGCAGGTCCCTCTCTTCTGTTTATACCTGCCCAAGAATGTCTGTGTATCTTCCCGACTCAACTACCTTTTAAAAGGATCAGCCGCTGCCACCAAAGTGGCTCAAACAAGGGATGTGGTCCGGGGACTGCCTGCAGGACAAGGTCTTGCAAGAAGCCCGAGAGTCTTCTCCCGGCCGCGGGAGCCGTGGGAGTTGCGGGCTGTCCCTGGCGTGTCGTTCCATTGGGCACACGTACATTAAAAGCATGAAGCCTGTTTTCCCCTCCCTCCGGTCATGTTTCTCAGCTCTCTGCTCAGGCTCCTGACGAAGTCTGAGTCCAGGGCGGGACTCCCCCCTTCCTTCCAGACAGCAGCGAGATGAAGAGACACCCGCGGACTTCTTCTACTTCATCGACTTTCAGAGACACAATGCCGAGATCGCAGCTTTCCACCTGGACAGGTAGGTAGGGTTGGGCCCCAGGGACATGGCATTGACCGCAAGGGCCGATGGGCCAAGGGGTGCTGGGCAGACCCTCAGGTGGGACCTCCCTGGCATTTCTTCCTTCCGGCATCCTGTCTTCCTCACGAACCTCAGTGATGCCTTTGAACTCAACACATCTCCTGTTCAACCCCACATTTGAAAAACACAAGGCCTCTAATGTAAAGAATGACCTAGAAAGAAAACTAAGCACCCTGCCAGGCTGCTCAGGCTGCCACCTTGGACCTGACCTTGCCCTTCACTCTAGTTTCCTAATTGGAAACGGGGCGAATGCATCCACTCCCATGTATCCCATTTCACCCAAAGGTGAAAGCACATGCCTAAACTTCCTCCTCTCCCATTGGCCCGTCGTGGCTACTCAAGGTGTGTTCTACGGACTGGCAGCCGGGGCCCCACCCCGGGAGCTCTTCAGAAATCCGGAAGCTCGGGCTCACCCTGGACCCGCTGAAAGAGAGCCTGCATGTGAACGAGAGCCCAGGTCACTCACATGCCCAGTAACCTATGAAAAGCTCCGACCTAGAACACAGCGTGGACTGTGGGAAGGCTTGCCCAGGAGGCTTGCGGGACTCAGGAGTCTTCTGCCAAGCCTTCTCCCACCCCCTTAGACACAGGTTTGCCCTGGTTGTGGTCAGCTCGGTACTGCAGAGTGCCCTGGGCTGCACATGGTCAGGAACGCCCGCCCGTTTCTAGGGGGCGACCATCTGACCCCCCGACAATCCCCCAGACGTGAACAGGGCTTTCTCTCCTCCAGGATTCTGGACTTCCGACGGGTGCCACCCACAGTGGGGAGGCTAGTCAATGTCACCAAGGAAATCCTAGAGGTCACCAAGAATGAAATCCTGCAGAGTGTTTTCTTCGTCTCTCCAGGTAGAGTACTGGCCCGAGCTATGTTTTGGGTGTAGGAGGGTCGGCCCCTGTGGCCGCCGATGCGCTCCCAGTGGTCTGAGCGCCTGCCGGCCCCCATTGGGAGGGGTATATGCTGCCGTCGGACTCTCCCATCCCGGCCCACCCAAGCATCACACCAGATGAACTGGAGATGGGAAAGGGTCGTAGGCGAAATGCCAAGTAGCCTGGGTGGGCGTGAACGACAATGCCAGCCTCCCCGGACTCAGATGTTACCCATGCGAGCAAAGAGCATTCTCATCATCTGGGTGGGAGGCAGCGAGGTTGGGGCCCACTTTCTCTGCTCTGAGACATTTGAAAAATCAGTGCCCAGGATGCTCAGTGTAAGAGCACTCACAAGGCCCGACATCTGGGAAAGCAATATTTTCGTCTTCTTGCTGCCTCTGCCCAGGCTGTGAGTTGAGGCTTTCCCTTCCCTCCTGGGGGATTTTCCGGGGGGCGGGGAGGGAGGAGGGGGGATCAGGAACAGGGCACTGCCTCCTTATTCCTTCTCTCTCTCCTCCCGTGCCCTCCAGCCAGCAACGTGTGTTTCTTTGCCAAGTGCCCATACATGTGCAAGACCGAATACGCCGTGTGTGGCAACCCGCACCTGCTGGAAGGTTCCCTCTCCGCGTTCCTGCCTTCTCTCAACCTGGCCCCCAGGCTGTCGGTGCCGAACCCCTGGATCCGCTCCTACTCGCTGGCAGGAAAAGAGGAGTGAGTTGGCCCCCTGGCCACGATGCCATGCCCACGGCCCTGCCGTCTGGTTCCTGGGAGTGGCTGCCTCCCCGCACCGAGGCCTTGCCACCAGCCTGGCTCTTGGACCCCCAAACCCCAATTATTTCCTGATCTCAGATCGATCCTGGGGTCAGCTGTGCCCGTTCTCCCCGCTTTGGTTCATGTATTCAGTTACAAAAAGCGTCCTATGTGCTAGGGGTACGGGACAGGCTCTCCCGGCCTGGGGGCAGTCAGACGAGTAGGCAGATTATGAAAACACCGCGGTGCACTCGCTGTCATCCAGAGAAGCACATGAGGAGCCCGCAAGAGCGACACTTGCCCCACCCGAGTAAACCCCGGGAAGCCAAGGCCCCAGAGCTGGGATCGGGAGGCAGGGATCTTGGGGAGGGGGATGCGGGGAGGTGGGAGAGGGCCCCCAACACCTTGCCATCTTGGCTTTTCCAGCCCCAGGATTTCTTCTCCCCTCAGGTGGGAGGTCAATCCGCTTTACTGCGACACCGTGAAGCAGATCTACCCATACAACAGTAGCAGCCGTCTCCTCAACATCATCGACATGGCCATCTTCGACTTCCTGATAGGTGGGTCCCCGTCCCCGCGCTCGGGCGCTTGGCGGCAGCGGCCTCTGCTGTGGGGCTGGGATTCGCCATGACCTTGGGCAATGAGCTGGAGCCTGGCCCGTGAGGCCTGAGGAACCTCACACGGCCCAGAGCCTCGGAAGTGGCGGAGGTCCCAGAGAACAGAGGTTAACACATGCTCCCCTCTTTAGAGAGGACTCACTCAGAAGGCGGGCACACAGTGTGCAACCCACCCACGTGAGGGTTTGTGTGCTCACTTAGCCCCCCTCTCCCCCTGCACCATCACTAATAACCATGGGAAACAGTGTGGGGCCCTGGGTTCAGACTCCTGACTCAGCTGCGATCAGGCCCCCCAGGTCCGGGGAGGATGCAGAGGTCAGAAGCACCTGCCCTCCTTTGCAGGAAATATGGACCGGCATCATTATGAGATGTTCACCAAATTTGGGGACGATGGGTTCCTCATTCACCTTGACAATGCCAGAGGGTAAGTGTCCCAACATCGCTGTTCCCGCCGTGGCCCCGGGTGCGGCCGCTCAGGGCCAACCAGAGGCCCCCTGAGAATGAGGCCCTTCCACGGTCACGTTCCCGGTCGCCCTGCCCTCCTTGTTCCATTTCCTTTTTCTCCCAATCTTTGCTAAGTAACGCTGGATTCTCCTCTGACAGGTTTTTACTAAGCGGTTCAGTCCTGGAGGCAGAGTGCATGGCTCATCCTCAGTGTCTGGCCCTCTATAGTTAGGGAATGAATGAATGAATGAACAAATGAACGAACGAACGAACGAATGAATGATGCTTGGTCGTAACCCCTTTGCACAGAGGCTTTTGGGGGCTGATCCCGGGCATTTTACCCCGGGCTGTCAGAACAAGGCTGAGGTAGAGGAGAGTGGAAACCATTAGGAGCGAGGTGTGGGGGGGGGGGGTCTCCCTGAAAGCCCGTCCCCCCTTCCAGGTTTGGACGACACTCCCAGGACGAACTCTCCATCCTGTCGCCGCTGTCCCAGTGTTGCAGGTGAGCTCCCAGCTCCAGGGCAGGTGGCAATTGTGACCCTTCATCCCACTTGCAACCAAGCTCAGAAGGTCCTAGTGTTCACTGGTCTAGGACCCCGGTGCGTAGGGAGACAGGAATGACCTCATTTCTTGTCCACTGACAGAATTTTCCCCAGCAATGCCTCCCTTTTGCATCTGTCCGCACAGGATGAGTGAGGACCTCATCTTTTAAACCGATCACTCACTAACTTTGATCTTTAACCCACTCAGAGAAGAGCTCATCCTTGCAGAGTCTGACAGTCTTGGACACGGCTAATCAGATCTCTGCTTCGCTCAGCACTCAGAGAAGCTCATAAATATGACTTGCTCACCATTTAAGTAAAATCCTGATTAAAGTCCCATAAACTGGGGGCGCCTGGCTGGCTCAGTCAGCAGAACACGCGACTCTTGATCTCAGGGTCGTGGGTCCGAGCCCCACGTTGGGTGTAGAGATTCCTTAAAAATAAAATCCCTAGGGTACCTGGGTGGCACAGCCAGCCGAACGTCCGACTCTTGGTTTTGGCTCACGTCGTGATCTCGGGGTCGTGGGATCAAGTCCCAGGTCGGGCTCCGTGCACAGTCTGCTTAAGACTCTCTCTCCCTCTGCCCCTCCTCGCTCAAAAATAAACAAATCTTTAAAAAAAATAGAAATAAAATCCTTAAAAAGTCCTATAAACTCATGTCAGATTGAAAGGAAGTACTTGGACTTTGCGTGGCCACCAAGCTCTAGAGAATGTCTAACCCACTTCCATACCTCTCTGGTGTCGAAGTCAGGCTGGTGAAATGGTCCGCCTGCTCAGCTGCAGTTTCCAGAGCTAACTAGAAACGCAGGATGCACGCCTAGCAAAACCACCTCATTCATTTCCAGCTGGAAAACTGAGCAAAGCATGTTCTTTATCCGCTTCTTAGGTTCATTTAAACATGCCTCCCCTCCAGCCCTCCCTCTCCCCGAGTAGGGGAGGCAGGGGCTGTTGATGACAAGTCAGACAATTAAGCTGCTTATACATCTGAGTGCAAGTCAGATTCTCACATAAAAAGCAATCAAAATCCACCCCATTTCCATCCCTCTAAGAGTCTGACCCAGAGAAATACAAAGTTGGCAAGAAACAACTTAGAGGCTGGGGGTACCTGTGGCTTTTGAGATGGCAAAACTCTTCATCATTTCACCTACCAAAAACTTCTCTTGGTGGCTTTAAATCTCCTTCGGATGTCGTTAACGGTCACTTAGTTCTCCTTTTCCCTGGTTTTCATTAACACGTGCTTGAGAAGACACTGGGGGAGAAGGCTCCCAGAACATCACCTACGACAGCTGTTTGTGGGGAAAGAGGTTCAGGCAAGCTTTTCTCCTCGCATTTACCTATTTGCCTCCTATATTCTGTCCTTCCAGAATAAAAAAGAAAACGCTTTTGCACCTGCAGCTGCTGGCCCAGGCCGACTACAGACTCAGTGACGTGATGCGGGAGTCTTTGCTAGAAGACCAGCTCAGCCCCATCCTCACCGAGCCCCACCTCCTGGCCCTGGACCGGAGACTCCAAATCATCCTACAGACAGTGGAGGGGTGCGTGGAGGCCCACGGAGAGCAGAGTGTCATAGCCACCGACCCAGCAGAACAGTCCGCCCCAGACTCTAGCCAGGCTAACTTGACAAGCTAAGGGCTGGATGAAGCCAGATTTCAGGAACTACCCCTGGAGCCAGAGGTGGACTTGGGAGCGGACCACTGCTTCCTCGCATCCCCGTCAAGGCTGGAGGGGCTGGGTCATGAGCTCTGAAAGAGGTAGGGCACTGGGATGATTCCACAAGAGCAAGAGAGGAGGGATCCACTGAACTTTCTTCCTTGGTGCACGGCTTCTCCAGTGGACCTCCTTGGCCCCGCCCTTCCCAGAAAGCACTGCTTCAGCAAGGCCACAGACCATCTCCTGAGCCCACTGGGAAATCTGGATTAGGCGTCGGGCTTGGAAGGTTTGGGAGCCTTGTCCCAGGAAAGAGTAGAACAAATAAAATTAAAGGACACCAATGGACACCTAGCTGACCTCCAGATCCTTATTATATCTACAAGGATCACTTCTGATCCAGATAAAACATCTGGCATCTCGGGAGCAGACCAAAAAAAAAGAAGAAAAAAGTCTAAACATGGTAGCCCCCAAACTGGTTCAAAGTAGACTTCACACTTTCTATTTCTGTCCCAGTCACTGTGGCTCAACTGAATACAGCAATCCCTTATTGACCATTCCAAAAGTAATTTCTTGGAAACGTTATGACAAAGGGTAAAAATAACAGAGGAATTTGCTCAGAATATCTGAAAAGGGATGTTTTCAATCTGAAGAGTATTTAAATACCGACCAAAATAACATCAAGTATGTCAGATTTAGCCCCCAGCAACAAGAGAAGGAATTGTACGGCAGGGAAAACCAGTGTAGTCTTGAAGGTGGAACAGCAGGGGAATGGGCCTAGCAGGTGCGTGAACCTGGACTTGGGCAGGAGAAAAGCCAGGGCCTCCCACTGCCCACCCACCACAATCCTCTTTCCCATAAGGGCCCAGGACTGTCGCCCACCCGCCCCCAAAAGCAGGAGGCTCTCTGAAGAGGCCTGACACTCTAGATGCCCCTCCCCTCACTGCTTTATCAAAAAAGGACTCAAATCAAGTTGACTTTTAAGATTTATTTGAGAGTGAGCAAGAGAGAGAGAGAGCACACGAGCAGGGGCGGGGAGGGGCAGAGGGAAAGAGAGAAGCAGGCTCCCCGCTGAGCAGGGAGCCAGATGTGGGGCTCCATCCCAGGACCCTGGGGTCACGACCTGAGCCGAAGGCAGCCGCTTAACCCACTGAGCCACCCAGGGGTCCCCTCAAGTTGATGAAGCCTCCCTTAAAAATGGATGCATCAGGGATCCCATCCCCTCAGCCTTCTCTCTACTGACTGCCAACATCCGAGACACCTTTCATGGGAGGCTTTGTTTCTTATTCTGTAATTCGTGTCTGAAAACCCAAATCATAGGCATGTATTCATACTATGGAGTGATGAGCCAGTCAACAAGTACAAATGACCAATCTCAGCACATCCACTTCCCCGATAGGGGCCAGAGGCTCACATTCTAGAAGCGGGGGGGGGGGGGGGGGGGGGAGGGTTCAAAAGAAGTTGTCGGCTGCCAGGTCAGACAGCAGAGAGGTCGTCCAAGCCCTGACAAGTGACATGGGTCTTTCTGACCCACCTGGTACCCCACATCCCTGGCGCATTATGTACCCCTGAGCCTCAGTCTCCGGGACAATAACATCAGGGCCACTCACGAAGCTCTTCCCAGGTGACAGTCAGCAGACAGGTTTCCCAGCCTCCCGAACACACACAGAGAATCCCTTACCTCCAAGGTACACAGAAAAAAATGGTCTCACAAAATCACACAACTTAAATGATTTAAACCTACTCCCAAGTGTTCTCTCCACTGTCATACAAAAACCCAACAGTACTTCAATCAGTCTGTGAAGTTAAGTTGGTTTAGAAAAACTCGACCCTTTAGTAGAACCGAATTCCCCCAGAGACTTCATCACCCGCAGGCTCTACCGCTGCTCAGGGCTTCCCACCTCATGAACGGTCTCCTACTTCGAGACACTACTGTCTTTGGTAATTGCACACAGAAGAGTGGCAGAAAAATACTCAGGCAAAGATGTTCAAGGAACAGCACAGAATGGTCTGGGTGTCAAAGCCCCGAGCCTGAGGAAGGTAAGCCACAGCTCCGTCTCAAACCGGCCACTTCTAGGACAATGCGCTGGTTTTCAAATGGACTAAACGCTGTGGTGTATTTTACCAAGAGTAATAGAACGGAGTCTGACCACAATACGTAAAGTACCAAGTTACCTAATTTTTTACTTAAAACACCCCATTATTTTTTCACTAATGCAAAGACTAAAACTCTATCATTTGTCAAAAATACCAGAGAACAAAAGACTCCTTTAACCGTCAGGTTCTTCCAACATGTCCATTTTGGACCACCGTTCATCTTCCCATCACATAAAAATTCTCTTTATAAAAATGTTTCACGTTACTACTGACAATGGAATGAAAAATGAAAAAAAGGAAAGGGAACTGTCAGTACAAAAACTGGTAGGGAAAGGGGTTTGAAGAATTCGGTTTTGCCTGCCCAAAAGCCAGGAGGACAATCTGAGTCTGAAGACTGTAAAAGGTGCAGCTGGTTCTCTCTCTCACTCGTGGTAGTTTTATAAAGTCACCACGGACACCAAATCAGTGGAGACGGAACCATTTGCGCCCGGAGGAAATACAGGGTTGAGGTTCCCGGGAGCCTCTAGTTGCAACATTTTTGTAAATAAATCAGTACGTAATCTTGTCTTACGTGTTGTGGTGTAGACACCAGAGTAGGCATTGTTAAGAACACTGAACTCATGTGGCCAACATAACTCATGCGCCTTAAAGAAGCTACTTAATACACTTATTTTCTCTACAAGACACACATCACAGCCTCCCCGACCTTAGGAACACTCACCAGCACTTTAGCACTACACTTGGGGGCCATTTTAAGTACTGAAATCACCCAGAGAAAGCACAAAAATGCCGGAGCAGCACCGGAGAGACCGCGAGGCGGACACGGACACGGGAGGGCAGCCGGACAGCCGGGACCACAAGGCAGAGCGGCGCTTCGTTCAAGCCCCGCGGGGCACGCGCACCTCGGGACAATCGAAGCCTTTGCCACTCTGCTCACGTCCGGGAAGGACAGGGAAAGTGCTCCGAGTACTGACTTGGGGGTTACTCATAAATTTTAGCAGGTAGGCAAATTCACAAAATTCGCAAATACAACACCACGAATAACGAGGACCGACTGTTAACGCCTTGGACATTCACCAAGATGATAAAACAAAAGCTCTCCATCTAGTGGTGACTTTGAGAATCACAAAGCTACTTAAGTTAAATTGGCAGAACTTTGCACACAACGAAAAAATTACGGCTCATTGGTTTGAGTTCTAGGTCGACTCAGGATGAAGTCACAGCTCTGAAGTTAATGTTAACAAATTTTAACATTAAATGTATACAACAATACTGATTTCTAAGTGAAAGCGCCACAGGGCTAAAGGGAGAGGTTTAAGACTCGCCCTTTTAGAATCTCCTATCTGCAGCCTTTCCTGGCAGCAGTATGATGGCTACTTTGGGGGACACATTAACTGGTGATCTGGCCACTGCCTCTCGATGTTGTTCTAGCCCATCTAGAAACACGCTGCCGGGGCCGAACAAAAATACAAAAAGGTTCAGTTATTAATTTGTGATTGTGCAGATAAAGCAGTATTAAGAAAATGAACATCATGCTACTTCAATTTTAAAATGTCAATATTTAAAAATAAATAAATAATAAAATGTCAATATTTAAGTCATTAAAAAACAAAAGACAATTCCACATGAGCCAGAGTTCTAGAAGGAGAACGAAACTAGAACCAGTACAGTCAGTCCAAGGAAGTTCTCCTATGTTACATTCTGCGGTGACTCTGAACGTTCCCCTTCAGCGGGCTGAGGGAAGGGGCTACTGAATCCGGACAAAGTGCATCGGTTACAAAGCAGCACAAATTAAAGAATGTTCCAGAATACGACACATCTCCAACTTCACTGGATATGAAGGAATTAATACCAATAAACTAATGAGTACAACTTAATCATCTCCGAAATCTGAGGAATATCAGAAATAAGACTTTATGAATGTAAAATACACAGAAGTAAGCACACCTAAATACCCAAAGGCATGTATTAAATTTAAACCAGAGTATGCTGATCCAGAAATGACATTTCCCATGAAGTCTGGGAAAGTTCTAAGACCAGAGATCCAGTCCGTCTTGAATAAAAAGGAACTCTTCTGGCTTTTGATTGAATCTTTTCCTTCCACTACTCAGTAAACAGATCTGCTTCAACTCAATCATGCTTCAAGTAAGGATTTGAGATTCATTCTTTGGAATGGATTGGAAAACACTGAAAACAAACATTATTCTTTCAAAACACTAATCCCATTAATTCACTCTCGATTTTCATTCTTGCCCACCAGATTAAAAGCTTCTGGGGGAGAGGGGGAAGAAGACAAGGAAAGGAGAAGGGGAAGAAAAACTGATTCATTTAAGGATTTAAATTATTTAATCTTTTTTTTATTACTTGACCTACTGTTAAGACAATCTATAACAAAAAGAATAGAGTATATTAGCACACACAGTATAATTAGACTAGTAACCAGGAAACGATACAAAATGGTCCTTTGGCCATCTATACTTTCTAGAGCAGTAGATCTCTTAAATTCACTTACCACGCCCAGAAATAATGACTTCCAAAGCCCTGAATATCAACTAAGACAAATTATGCCAATTAGGATTTCTCACATATACTCAGATTGCACAAAGAAAAAGCTTTAAATGTGATAATTTTTAAATTGAGACTTAAAATTCCTTAGATTAAAAACTACAAAAGGGAGTAAACAGCAAGCCAAATGACTTAAGAGCAAAACTCATTTAGAAAGCGTTATATGTATCTAAATATACATGAACGTGATTATATACATATATGAAAACTGTGCAAATTTGTGGCATTCTAAATAATTCATTTAAGTACAGTTTTGGCATTTAAACAAAGATCAAATCAAGCTTTAAGCTAATAAGAACATAACTTTTATTTTTAATTTTTTAAATAGAAAAAGGTAGCTAAACACAAAATACAGATCAGAAAACCCTCATTTAATATAGATTATTTTGAAAAATAAAAAAAAAATTTGTAATAAGGTGGCTATCTCACACTAAAATGTAAATAAAACCTCTTTCCCAGATCTAAACTCCAAACTTAGTAACAACCTAAAAACTGTTCAAATCTATGACACAAATCTAACAAATCTACCGTGACCAATTTAAATTACCTGGGAAAGGGTAGGAGAGGGGATTAATAATCAGAGCCAGTTGCACACAGATGGAAAAATGCTTGCAGTCACTCCCAAATAGAACCCTACATTATATATAAATCACAATGAAAATAAAAGTGCCTAACGTTACAGAACTGTGAAATTTCGTTTAAAAAAAAAAAAAAAATCAACCATAATACAAATAAACTGTTGGGTATCATTGGTGCACATGGAATAATGTAACATAGAAGGATAAGGCTGGAAAATACTGAAAAACAATTAAGACTCAAAACACAAGTTTACTTTAAAAAAAAACAAAAAAGTTTGCCAGAGAAAATAAATGCTCAACAGAAAAGCAGACCTTTTCAGCAGGACAGCCTTTGAGGCCACTGAAACAGCACAGACAAGCCCGACCCCGCCCCCACCCCACCCCCAATTCTAGCTGACGTAAAAAGAAGGGAAAAAGGTGAAACCAAAGTAAACACTTCTTCCCAAATCTCATGTCCCAAGGAAGTCAGTGGGACAGAGTCCCCAACACTGAGCTTTGTCCCCCTGGTATCTCTCCTTCACCAACATCGCCTCCACTCTTCTACTGGGGACGTCTGTTCCATCTATCCTGTCTAGTCCCAGCAAACCCAACCTCCTGCAGGCAGCGTTGCAGCACAGGAGAGAATCCTGGAGCCAAGTGAAGGACGTCGTACATTTAGCCAAAAGCTCTAAGTGAACTACCAAGAGTGTAGACCTCAAATTCTAATTCCCAATTCAGCATCTGGTGATCAATATTTGGCACTAGCTGGATAAATAAAGGTCTAATCAGAACTTCTGAGCTGAGGCAGATGTAGTTAAATCATAACTCAGTATTTGCAGTCTATGGTTTGGTTTCAAACTCCAAAGGCGGGTACAGGTAGCCACACCCACACGTTTCAGAATTGGAGGAAACACTACTAAACAAGATACAAACAAAACCAGGCGGATGAGCTTGACAAAAATTCTGGTTAAGAGGGAAGAAAAAAAAAAAAACAACTCAACAGATCATTATCCATCCAAGAACTAGCAAAAATGGGCATTTTTCCACCCTTAAACTAGTTTAAACACAGGCAGATGTCTTTCTACTATACTAAGATTTTTCTAGATCTGTTTTTCCTAATCCTCAGAGCTTAATGAGAAATCATTTATTCTATAAAGAAACACAGCATATACGGCCACAGTCTAAAATATGCTTATGGTAACTGGAAAATTATGTCACTTAGAAAAACAAATCTTGCACTGTTACACCGTTGCTCTACGGAAATTCACGTGGCGCAGGGCTGCGCCCTCACCAGGAAGCAGGGCACGCACTGCCTAGATTGAACACTAACACTGCACAGAGAGAAGCAGTAACAGCAAAGTCTCCACAGAACTCTTTCTATTTATTTAACTGTGTATGAGCATTCGGTCAATGCTCCAAATTAAAAACGGTGCAATGAAAGCAACTTTTAATATAAACAGACGAGAAGCTGCGATACCAGCGGCCACGTGGCGCTGCGAACAGGAAGAGAAAGCAGTCTGCAGGGGTGAAGCCCGGACGGGGGGGAGGAGAAAAGGGAGGCACAGGAGGCAGATCTCAGACGGACAGCGACACAAAACTGTTGTACTGCTGGATGTTCCGTTTGAGGATATCTGAGCACGGGCCGAGAACGCGTTCGAATCTGGGCCGGTCCAGCTTCACGCACTTCAGAGGGCCACGAGCCACCACCGTGGCGGCGCGAGGGCGGTTCATCAGGAGTGCGATTTCACCTAGGGAGGGGAGGACACACGAGGCGGGGTGAGCATCGATGGGAAACGCACGCACGGGGGCGCACTTCTGACAGCAACGAGAAAACAAGACTTATTTGTCTTAATAACTCAGTAACTTAGGACAGGCCACACATGTGCATTAAAAAAAAAAAAAACAACTGACAGAAGACAACCAGTAACTTGATTATTAACAGGGTAAAGGCAGGCACTCCAAAATCTCACTCTCTGAGAGCCAAAAAGACTACAATTAAAAAATAAACTTCGGGAGAAAGACAAAAATTAAGAACAACTATGCTATCTCACTGAAAGGCGACTTAAGCTACGTATTTATTTCAAGGAAATCCACATACCAAAATAATCAGAAGGCCCCAGTCTTCCCACTTCAACAAACTCTTCATTTTCTGACCGACGCTGTAGCACAGCAGCTGAACCCTGTAACAGAATCACCAAACGGCAAAACAAATACTTTCAAATCCAGGTGACATTTTAAACATCCAACACAATTTGGACTACTTTGTTAAAAAAAAAAAAAAGGATTTAGCAGTGATTTCAATCCTCCCATCCATATAAAAGATGACTGAGAAGAGTCACAGCATGAGCATCAAGCCCCATCTACCCAGCAGCCCCCGCTGGGAGGGTCTCCTCATCGCACCGAGGAACCTAGAGGGCTCACACTCAGGTGAGCAAACTGCAGCCAGAGGGCCAGACCCAAGCTCACTGGCGGTTTTTATAAATAGAACGTTACAGGAACAACACACCCATTCACTTATACACTATGTCGCTTTTGCACTATGGCAAGAGCTGAGTCTTTGCAACAGGAACCCTATGGTTCACAAAAGCCTCGATGACTTACCAACTGGCCCTTCAGAGAAAGAGTCCCTCGACTCCTGAACTATCCAATTAGCATCTCCTGAGCCACTTTCATAGAAAATCTGCTCTTTGGCTCTGCTTGGCAGGCAAGAGTATGTTCTACACTTCCATGAATTGTGAAGATATAAACCATAGTAACAGTGTTATGCTGAGCAAAATAAGTCAATCAGAGAAAGACATCTATCATATGACCTCACTGATATGAAGAATTCTTAATCTCAGGAAACAAACTGAGGGTTGCTGGAGTGGGGGGTGGGGTGGGAGGGATGGGGTGGCTGGATGATAGACATTGGGGAGGGTATGTGCTATGGTGAGCACTGTGAATTGCGTAAGAGTGTTGAATCACAGACCTGTACCTCTGAAACAAATAATACATTATATGTTTAAAAAAAAAAAGAAAAAAAAGATTATGGAAAACTTTTAGTTTCAGAAACTAAAATTTGGCAAATATAAAAACAAAGAAACATAGTAATGGTTAGAATTTAGTACTTGCTTTTAATCCTTGTTTGCCAAATAGTCCAGATATGATTTTAACAAGGATGGTACAGAACCATTAAGTTATGCTAAATGATTGAGTTTCATTCGGCTTGCATAAGGACTGAGTAGGCCAGAATCTGGCTATTACTTCATGAATAGCCCTTCCAGAATTCTGACTCAAACTCATTTAAAATGTGCTGGCCTGGGCACCTGGGTGGCTCAGTCATAAAGCATCTGCCTTCGGCTCAGGTCATGATCCCAGGGTCCTGGGATGGAGCCCCACATCGGGCTCCCTGCTCAGCGGGGAGTCTGCTTCTCCCTCTCCCTCCGCCCCTCCCCCCTGCTCATTCTCTCTCTCACTCTCTCAAAAAAAATCAATAAAATCTTTTAAAAAATTAAAAAATAAATAAAATGTGGTGACCTGGCAGAAAACCAAATGGCACCATTTCAAAGTGAAAGATAATTTTCAAATAAAACGGTCAGGTATTCTTAAAAAAAATCAAACTATGAATCAGAATTAGGCCCTTTTTTCTCTCTTATGCTATACAATTTTTTTTTTTAATAGCATCAAACACAGTTGCCTTTACCTCTAAAATAATGAAGAACTCATCCCCTGGCTCTCCCTGCACCACAATCTTCTGCCCATCTTCAAACTGAACGGGTTCCAATGCATCAGCTACCGTGAGACGTTCCCACTTGTCCAGAGATTCTGAAAGGCAAGAATCAAAAGAATTTCTCTACATTAACTATCAATGCTAAAAATGTCAAAACAAACTATAAAGAGAATCAAATAGCCATGCCCATTCAATATTCTAGTGTTACAGATTAAACATAGCACCTCTCTTCAATTACCTCAAGTCTCAGCAAGATCTTCCTATTATTTACAGATAACCCTTCCTATTATTTACAGATAACCCTTCAGTAGTCCAGTGGCCACGTTAATTATCAACTGCACTCAATGGTAAAGGAGTAAAAAAATGTAATCATTAAGTCTTCCTAATGAACACCATTAATGCAAATCAAACTTACAAGACCCAAAAGTCATAGTGTTACCAACCGTACTATTCCAAAGGTTCATAGAAATAACTTATCTATTTAAATCCTAAGTTGAATTTATTTACAAAACCAACAAGGAGAACCAGACAATAATATTAGTTCCCAAAGGCCAAACTAAAACCCAAGTCACTAAGTAAATATAATCCTTCCAGAGAAAGGAAAAATGAGGGAAAAAGTCCATTCGCTCTAACAATGGCAGAAGACTATTACTTAAGAATCACCACACCCTTCCTCCCAGGGAAGAACAGGTTGTAACAATATTGTAAGGCCACAAAACAAAATACACACGACTATCTCTGCTTTACTCTAAACTTTACCAAACTTCTAGCACTTTTTCAGAGAAAGCCAGAAAATGACACCTAATCTTTCTACAGAGAAAAGGCATTCTTGGCAACACTCACTGTCCTGAACCAATAAACTCACCAACAGAGCAACAGAGACAGACATCACAGGGGGATGACTACCAATGTCCACTGTCAAAGGAGGACACTTTCAGCCTTTCTGTTTCCCCCAGAGGAATGAGGAACACATAGTTCCAGGAAGCTTTTCTCAGGTCGACCATTTCTAGTTAAGAGGTCTGTCACATACTAGCAAATTAAATACACTGTAAAATTACTTCTAACTTAGTCAAACTTCAACTTTGTATCCCACGTGTTTTTAATTACTATTAGCAAAAAAAAAAAGCGAGTTAATAATCAGAGCAGTTTTTATGAAATGCAACAGGTTTTCCTTAACTATCACCAACACTTTAATTTAATGATTCTCTGTGCAATCTTCTAAAACTCACCTAAAATAGAGACTTTACTAAGAAACTCCTCATACATCTTCCGCTTTCTCAGAGTGCTTCCCTATAAATGAAAAAAATAAAAGTCATCTCAAAAATGTGTAATTATCCCATAATGCTGTGGAATAAAAAATACTAAGTGTTAAGTAAACAAAAAGTCAACGCTTGCTGTTGCTTCTTGATACATGATCATTTTTCTTCAGGTCGGCGATGGTAAACCCTCTGTTCAGCTCAATAAAAAGCTGTGTAACTCATTCTTAAAAGTAACACCAAGCTGGGGGACCTGGGTGTCTCACTTAAGAGTCCGACTCCTGATTTTGGTTCAGGTCATGATGTTGGGGTTGTGAGAACGAGCCCCAGGTCAGGCTCTGTGTGCTGGGCATGCAGCCTGCTTGGGATTCTCCCTCTGCTTCTCCCTTCCCCTTCCCACCCCTCCTCAAAAAAAAAACAAAGTATAACACCAGGCATAGGGCAAAGAAGGTGCCTAATACCACCAATTACTGAAATGCTATATAAATACTCAGTTCTCAAAAAAAAAAAAAAAAAAAACAGCCAAGTTACATGTGTGACTATAGCTGAATATACTTCCAGCCCAGGGTTCTTCCCCACAACCCCAATTCTCCACAGAAGGAAGGAAATAAAGCTGCTACCACTTCTAGACCTCCCACCAAAAACAGTACCATTAGCCCCAAACCTAACCAAGCTGTCTTATCTGTAAGGTTAAATATATCTGAGGGAAGGCGAGAGGGAAACACAGTCCTCTATAATACCCTTACACGCACATATATACTTATCTATACATACACATCCCCCAAATACAGAAAATATTCAAAGTACATCCAACTGTATATTGTCAAATAGCCAGACAGGCACTGTACAAATTTATGGAAATCATTCAAGATGACTAATGCCATTAGCTGGCACTTAAACATCTAAAGCTACTCTATAAATCTGTCACAAAGTTCTCAAAAAGTCTCACTATATCAGCAGAACGTTCCAATGGTTTTATTATTTTGTTTATTCCTTCAGTGAAAGTGGACATTTGCACTATTTAACCCACTTGCAGTTTAGGGACGTGGATTACTCCTGAATGGCTTTAAGTCACTTAGTGCACTTACGTGTAGCATCTATCAAGCTACCTCAAGTGTAAAGATAAAGTAAGTGAAGATCAGCAAGTGGACAGACTTCCAAACATGAGCTAACCATTATATACACACCACATTTGTCTCCCATGCTTTCTCTGGCCGGATGTTTGTTCTACAAGATCTGGTGATACTACTCAAACATCAGTTACACAGACTGAAATTCTAAATTGCACTCCAAAAGCCATGCTGTCTCACCATGAGGATTCTTCTATAGCTGTCTCGGTCAATACCCCACAATTTCACGTTCGTCTTTGCCTTGACAGTGGCTGCTCTAGGTGTCCCATAGATCAAAGCAAGTTCCCCAAAGCTCCCTCCTTCCCCAACACTGGTTGCCCATTCACTGTTGACGTAGACCTAAAACACAAATGACAAAGAATCAGTTTTTTCCACATACACAAACATACAACTATTAAAAACCCACCAACCTTTCTAAGGGGGCAGAATCCTGAATTTTGTTTCAAAAAATAGAGTATGTTTTTACAAAGCAGAGCAAAACAGTTGCTGTCTGACATGAGTTAAAAAAACCCAGTGTCTGTGATTTACCCGATTTAATTATAAGAAAAATGTTCCCATAGGGATGATCAGGGCAAAAAGGTAAACAGCATTAACAACCATGTACATTCACAGAGTGTCGTGTCATGTACTATGCTAAGCGTCTCCCCTGCAGAA